GTGCTGACACTGTCACCTGAACGCCTGCTCCCGTAAACATTGTTAAACATTGTAACGAAGGCAGGCACTGCTGCCGGCCAGCACAAAAGCCAACAGTCGAGAGAGAGGCAGGTGCTGATGGAAAGGAAAGTGCTTTATTTTTCAGGGCCGGCCACCAAGAAGATGGGGGACTCATGTCTCAAAATCCTTCACCTACGAGCTACCTATTAGAGTCCACACTTACAGAAACAAGGTCAAAAGGATGGTGGGGGCAGGTTCCAATTTCCCGCCATTAGAGCATTAGTGAATCGGTACATTTTCAGGGGTGTTTTGGCCATTCCTACTCCCCACCCTGGAGGCCGACTTGCCACCTGCCCTCGGGACCACGGCCAGGCACTTACATGTGAGTCCACTTGCACTAGGTGGCAAGGAGACGTGTTCGGACGACACTAGGGGCAAGCTGTGGCTGCTGTTCCAGCAGATGGGAGTAGGGGAGCCGCGGACCGGGACCCTGGCTTTGTCGGGTCAGCCCAACACCTGCTGCCTCCCCCCGTGGCCAGGCCCAGGCCTCAGGGCCCCAAGATGCGCATGTCAACTTTGATAATATTCGTGCTCACTCGCATGCTCTCTCTCTCTCTCTCTCTCTGATGGGACAAGTTACCAGACATTCCTCCATGTGTGGGGAAGAGAAAAGAAAGACTCTATCACTTGAAGGAGCATTAAAGCCAGGCACTGTCACACCCCCTGGGAATGTGACTGGGTGAAGGTGGCAGCAGAGACCCTCACTGTCTGCATTTTCCCGGCAACAGGCAGCAGTTTCTCCTGACACCATCTCCATGGTGCTTTCCTTTCAGTAGAGGCAGAGAGACAAACCTCTCCCCACCCCCACAGAGGCTCCAAGCAGGGAAGGCGCAGGGAGCTTAAATAACTCAGGGGGAGTCCACCGAAACCGTCCTAGTGGGTGGTCGGGTGCCCTCTGGTGGGCAGTGGGAAGAATGCATGCAGCAAAGCAGAAATTAAACTTCATCAGAGAATATATTCACGCTTATTTTTTTATTTACTTACTCTTAGAGCCGAGAAGGAAAGGAGAAAGAGAGGGGGAGAAACATTAGTGTACAAGAGACTTGGTTGCCTCTTGCACATGCCCAACTGGGGACCTGGCCTGCAACCCAGGCATGTGCCCTGATGGGGAATTGAACTGGCGACCTTTTGGTTTGCAGGTTGAGCTCACTCCCCTGAACCACACCAGCCAGGGCAGTGTATGGACACTTTAAACAAGCCCAGGCTCTTAAAACAGGTCCTGAGCTGCAGTCCTGAAAACTCACTCCTGGAGGAGTTTCGGGTTTCTGTCTGTCAAAGTGCTTAGCGGTTCCCCCGCAGGTGAGCAGCCCTCAGGGGCCAGGAGCACAGAGGGGAGCGTCAGGAGAAACGCTGTCCCTGACCCTTTCATCTAAGGCCCTTACACACCCTCCAAGGAGCATCTCAGAAACCCTTCCCCGGGGCAGCCCCGCCGGCAAAGTGCCTGCCTTTGACGCCCAGTCCCCTGCAGGTGTCTGTCTCCCACCCGGCCTCACCCTCCAGGGCCACATCCCTCCCACCTCCGTCAAAACCAGAACTTGGAATCTTCACTCCCTAAAACGGAGGTGACTAACGACCCTCCAGCCCTTCACACATCAGAGGCTCCAAGGCCCAGTGCTGGTGTCTCCACAGGACGTGGTCTGGGGTGGGGGGGGACGGGCAGGAAGCCATCAGGAGAGGTTGTGGGCTGAGGGTGACAGGCGATGGCTGCACCCCTCCTGACACCTCCCAGTTTTCAGGCCCCCAAATATGCCCATGTGACTAGGGATGAGGCTGACCAACTGGGATCTGGTGTCTGACCCACTTGTGTGTGGGTAGAAAGGCAGGGGCAGCGCCCCCTGACTCCTGGTGACCCCGGTCCCTCCAGGGTTAGCCCGTCACCAAGGGCCACTTGGGCAGCCTCTCGGGAAACATGCTTACTGTGGGCACCGAGCCGCCAGGCTGCCCTGGCCACGCCGGTCAGGTTGCAGCCGGCTCCTGCCCGACGGTGGTGAGCACAGGCCGGGAGCTCTCTGGGGTCAGCGGGGGGACTCCAGCTCCTTAGGGTTGGGGGAAGACCACAACCCAGACCACCTGCCGCCCACACCTTCCCCACTGAGGCTGCGTTTCCTGGGATCTTTCTGCCTTAACTCGCACAGCACAGGGTGGAGGGGGAGCCGGGGAGGCCTTGTCTGCCAATGTCATTAACTCTTAGCCAGTTTTCAACAGGAAACGGGCTGATTAGAGGGTGTGTGGCTATGCTTCCCTGGCAATGAAATGCAAGGTCACACACGGGGAGGAAGGGGACCCTCCTGCCTGGACCCTCCCATGGTGCCCACCTCATGCAGACTAAAGGCAGTAAGGTCTGCGGTGACTTAGCTGCTGCCACCCACCCACCCGTCCCCACTCCCTCCCCGACTTCATCCCCTGGCACATCTCCCCTCGGCACTCCACTCTAGCCCCAAGGACTGGGCAGCTCCCAGAACATCCCAGGCAGGCTCCTGCCTCGGGGCCTTTGCACTTGCCGTCCCCTTGGCCTAGAACCCCTCCCCCACATTCGCTCATCGCTTCAGCCTCTTCCCCATCCACGCACGGTATCGGTTACACTGCGGGCTTCCGATGCCAACACAGGACCGCTGCTACGCGACTTTGTTCTCAGACCCGGTAGAGAAATCTGCCCAGTCTCCGCTGATACCAAACCACTGCATTTGCCAAAACACAGTTATTTTTGCAACACATGTATTTCATTTTAAAATGATAATATGGTTAGCTAGCCAAGACACAATTGTGAGTGACTGGGTTTATTTTTTCATTGTAGGCTCTCACCATACTGGGGACTAGAAATTGGTATGTTAGCAGTAAAATTTCCACGGCCACATATGCGGCAAATGTAGTTCTGTGATTTCTCTTTTTTATGTTCTGTAGCTTCCTTAAAAAAACCCCTATTGGGGTGTGATTGACAGGTAAAAGGCTGTACCTAGTTAATGTGTACAATTTGAGCTTGAAGATAGGTATGCGCCGGTGAAACCGGCACCATAGCCCAGGCCATACACATACCCGTCACCCCGAACGTTCCCTCCCACACTGCTTTTTGTGGTACGAACACTTCCCATAAGATCTGCCCCGTTAGCAGATGTTTGTGTGTGCGGATTTGTACTCAGAACCACACTGTGTTGCTGGCTGCAGGCGCTGGGCCGCCCAGGGCCCTGCAGGGCACTGTGGTCTTGGAGAGCAGACTCTGCGCCCTTTGGCCAGCACCTCCCGCTGCCCCCTCCCCAGCCCCCGGAAACCACCCTTCTGCTCTCTGCCTCTGCGAGTCACGGGTTGGGCCACTTCAGATCACGTGGCGTCAGCTTTGGCCAGTTCTGTCTCGCTGCACTTAGCATGGCTTCCAGGGTCCATGCCTCAACCCCAGCTCCGAGAGAGAGCCAGGACTGGCCAATCAGAAGCTTCCATTTCCTTCCAGCTGCACCTCCCCATTGGGTCAAGGGCTGCCATGTGATACAAATTAGCCCAAGGAGCCTGTACCCTGGAGTGTCAGCCTCTGGCAGAAGTCTTGGGCCAGGAGGCTGGGTGACTCCTCCTGGACATCACCTCCTGCGAGACCTAGTTCTTCCTCTCCCCCCGGGGAGCAGGCCAGGCCTCCACCACATCAGCTGCCTGGGGCGGGGGTGCCGGGACCACCACCTCACAGCATCACAGATGCCAAGAAAACAGGAAACGATCCCATGAAAAGCCAAGCTCTCCACAGTCGCTACCTCTCCACGGGGAAAACTGCGCCCCTGCAGGTGTCTGCGTGGATTCTGTGGCCCACCTTTGCTCGCAGTGTGTTGAACGTGCTTAGAGAACTCCCTAAGCCAGGGGCTGGAGGCCGACGGGCCGGGAGGGAAGGTGAATGTGCGGCTCAGGCCACGCAGGAGCCGATGACAGACCTAGAACCGCTGGTGCGCCGTGGCTGGGCTGCACGCCCGCCTGCTTATGGCGCTCCCACCACTACACCGGCCAGAGCCGTGGTCAGCGGTGGCCCCCGGGCTCCCTGCCCAGCAGCCCCACGACCGCGTGTGCCTACGAGCAATTCTGGGCAGTTTGTCAGTCTCTCTGAGTTTGGGCGGTGGAACCGAGGAGAGAAACCTAGAAACACGGAGGGTGTCCTTTTCCTGTGAGGGCTAAAGAGGAGGTGTGTGTAGCATTTGACTTAGGAGAGCTTGCCATGTGGTCAGGAGCGGGACAGGCCCTTGGACGGCCCTGCTGGGCTCTGCCACGGGGACAAGAGGCACCGGAGGTGCGCGCCGCTGTGGCCCCTCCAATGATCTGACACGTGAAGTTTGACTGGCGAGAAACCGAGGACAGGAAAGAGGCCTGTTTTTGATTAGGAGACACTCTCCCCTCCAGTCCCTTTGGTTTGGGTGGCGGCCCCTGTAGGCGCCAGGGGCCACTTGTTTACTCAGGAGAAGGAACATCCTGTGGCCATTGTCACTGGCACCCGCAATCCCACGGCCAAGCACCATCGTTGGCACTTCCAACACAACTCACAAAAGCGGGAGGGCAGCCCGTCCCGGGGTGAGGAGTGTGCCCATCCGCAGCGGCCTTCTGTGTGCTGTATTCGTGACCCGCTCTTCTGTCCCCTCCGCCGCCGAATGTCAGGGGCGTGCTCGGCGAGCCACGCCGCCCAGTGGTCCACCCAGTGGTGGAGGGAAAGGCAGGGACGGGGTCCAAGAAGCTGAAGTAGGGGTGTGACCAACCCGCGCACCCTGGCCCTGAAACCGAGGGTCCTCGTGGTTCGGGCTGGAACCGCAGCGTGGGGACGGCCACTTCCCCCCCTCCTCTGTCTCTCGGGCCCCGACTTCTCCGTCACGCGAGGATCTGACCCCGGGGCAGAAGGCAGCAGCCAGGCTCGGATGGAGGGTCAGGGGTCCCCACCCAGGCAGACTAACCATAACATCTCAATCTGAATTATGTTTCAGCTCCTGAACCTAAGACGGATGATGCCTGGCCACTGATCCTTGAAACCAGTTCTGGCCATGGAAACTGACCTTGGAATTCTTTCTCCTTAAGCCCTAAAGAAATGATTCTTACCCTTTGCTCACCCCTGACCAATCAGCTCCCAGCTCAGCACCCAAGATCCCAGCATTCTTTCTCAAGCCCTATAGAAATGATTTCTTACCCTTTGCTCACCCCTGACCAATCAGCTCGCAGCTCAGCACCCAAGATCTCAGCATTCTTTCTCAAGCCCTATAGAAATGATTTCTTACCCTTTGCTCACCCCTGACCAATCAGCTCTCAGCTCAGCACCCAAGATCCCAGCATTCTTTCTCAAGCCCTATAGAAATGATTTCTTACCCTTTGCTCACCCCTGACCAAGTCAGCTCGCAGCTCAGCACCCAAGATCCCAGCATTCTTTCTCAAGCCCTAAAGAAATGATTCTTACTCTTTGCTCACCCCTGACCAATCAGCTCCCAGCTCAGCACCCAAGATCCCAGCATTCTTTCTCAAGCCCTAAAGAAATGATTCTTACCCTTTGCTCACCCCTGACCAATCAGCTCCCAGCTCAGCACCCAAGATCTCAGCATTCTTTCTCAAGCCCTAAAGAAATGATTTCTTACTCTTTGCTCACCAATCAGCTCCCAGCTCTGCACCCAACCTCTACCCATGTGGTTTTGTGATTTTGCTCTATCGATTCTGTAACCCAGGCCACGGAGGCTGTTCTTCCAGAGCTCGGGCTGGCCCACCTCCCAACTGGCCGATTCTAATAAACTGATCAATACTTTTCTTTACTGCAAACCCGGCTCTCGTGCATTTTTGGCATCACTTGATCCCCGGGGTTTGGCACCATCTCGACGGGCAGAGGGCCATGAATGCTTCCTGCGAGACTCGGGCTTCGCCGTGGCTTTGGCTGGGCTGCATTCACCTCACAGCGCGGGCCTCTGGCAGGGCAGGCGCCGAAGGCACGCGGTGCACCTCGCCCATGCAGAGGCATGACCCGGGTTAGACCGACCTTGCACTGTGGCTGTACCCAGTCCAGTTCCTGGCGCCCGATGCATGTCTTGATGCTCCCACACTTTCGGGAACCCCACAGGGGGGTAGTTCATGCCTCACCTTCCCCCTTGGTGACACCTTTCATGAGGGGGTACAGCCACCTCCCTTGCATGGGTCGCTACTCGGGGCTCCCCACCCCAGTTCCAGCAACACTGGGAGGACCCCCGCCAAGATGGCCTGGGAGAAAGGCCTCTGCCTCGGCCACAGTCTTTCTGCTCCTGGGACGGACAGGAAAAGAGCCCCCGCGGGGAGGGGGCTGCAGGTGCGGCTCCTCCGGACGCGGGGCACTGCTCCCCCAGGAAGGGCCTCAGCTTCCCCACCCGGCTCCCTGCACCCTCAGGGCTCCCGGCTCGGACTCTAACAAGCTCAGCCAGGAAGGGCTCCAAAGGTAAAGGGGTGCAACCCTCCAAATTCCTAGGAGGCCCGAGGGCCTGGGGAGGCCACACGAGGGTTCCGGCTTCACTGTCGGTTAGCCGCTGGCCGGTGGGCTGCGTGGAGGACAGGGAGTGAGGCCCAAGTGCGCGTGCACGTACGTGCGTGTGCACATGTGTGCGTGTGTGCAGGGGCACCAGTGCAAAGGGGCGAGGGTGGGAGGGGCCCGCGCGGCTCAGAGACAGACTCGGCTTTCACGGTTCGCCCCAGAGAGTGTTCTGGACCGCGCAGGTGGAACCGAAGATAAATGGATTAGCCAGGTGAGTAAACCTGGATTAAAGACTTTCTGAAAAATCAATTTGAGAGAGAATATTTGGGCAAATAAAATACGATCAGCTGTGTCAAATGGCCTGAGGAAATCGATGCCCGCGAGCCTGGGACAATCTCTGATCTGCGGCTGCCCCTGCCTCCGGGCCGGGGGTCCGCGCCTCAGTAATTGCACCGTGGGGTGAGGCCAGGCCAGGCCAGAACCCACGGCGTCGAAGGTGATGTTTCTTCCACTGAAAATGAATTTCTTTCCTGACCAACAAAGACCAAAGTGATTTCAAAATTCTAAGGGTGGCGAGACATCATAAAATTGTTTACACTTTTCTCGCTGCCCTGACATTAGACGTGGATCCTGCTGGGGAATAAGGAGAAAGGGGCCCCTCAGTCCCCAGGCAGGACGCTCCCACCACAGATGCGGTCGGCCGACGTTCAGAGGCCCTGGTTTCCGAAGCCTCAGGAGCAGAGGGGAAGGGGGAGTGTGAGAGCCACGTGGCAAGTCCGAGGGCTTTTCTTCTCTTCTGTGGCCTTGCTACATGCGAGACCCAGAGGAGTAAAGAGAAGCGGCTTCGGCACCAGAATGAACCAGCCTCAAAAAGAGACCCAGCCCACCGTGGAGATAAATGAAGACCTGGAACCCCAGCAGGAAAGGGAGGTGGGGCGGGGGAGAGAGGGTGCGGTTGTCTCGGGGGCACTGCGATTTGAAGGACCCAGACAGGGCCACGCAGCAGCCAGGGTAATCTTAATTTTGTAAATTTGTTTATTTTAGAGAGTCGGGAAGGGGAAAGAGAGGAAGAGAAACACTGGGAAACCCGAACAAGAAGGGAAACAGCTCCTAACCTGGGTGGCGTCCGACCTCCGGCCCCTTGGCCGGTTTCCCCGCACGTCCCTGGCCTCAGCCCGGGGACCTCCTCTCTTTCCTGTCCACATGCGTTTGCGGGGTGACCTCATCCAGCCTCCGATGGCTCCCCAGCTGAGTCTCCCGGAACTCCCGCCACCCGCTGCTTACCCAACATCTTCCCTGGACACAGTCACCTCCAGCACCATGGCCACCTGCTGCGCTCACTTGTCCTCCACCGGCCACCCCTGCCGTCAGGACCTTGGAGTCACCCTGTTAAATCTGGGGCACCCCCACTTCCACCATGTCCCAGGTGCAACCGCTTCTCCCCACCCAACCTGCCCCCATGTGGCCGGGGCCAGTCTCCCAGCTCCCCTGGATTCCTGTCGAAACTCACCAGTCGGTCCCTCACGGTCTGCCCTGCAAACGCAGCCGACAGCGTCCTGTGAAAACCTGCTTCAGCCCGGTCTCTCCTGTGTTTAGGAGAGGCCACCCGCCCCCTGCCACGGCCCCCCTCAGTCACTCCCAGCGTCTCTGCAGTATTTGCCAAGACCCCACACAACCTCTGGGCCGGGCCACCAGCCATGCTCCCCCCGCTGGTGCAGCTCCGGTGAACACACCAGGCGCTGTACTCGTGTGTCGGTCGTCCGCCCCTCCAGGCAGGGATCTGGCCCGGCACTGGGCAGAGGCTCAGTGTGTCGTCGTTGAATGAGTGACTCACGGGCCTGTTGGCGCCCTGGGCAGCGGTCGGCAGGGTCTGGAGTGTGCGTTACACCCGTTGGTTGTTCTCAGAGGCATGGCAATGGGTGTGAACGGCACCTCTGCTCATCTGGCCATTTGCCTGCCCGTGATACCAGGTGCAGGCCGTGACTCACCCACAAAGACACGCCACCTGAGACATACCCGGGCAGGACGGAGGGACTTGACTAAGGGCGGGCGGGCGGGGCGGGCAGGAAGGGCTTGGACAAGAAGCTCCTTGAATTTTGCCCCCTACTCCTCACCCCAGCTCGAGAGATCTGTGATCTGCAGGAGCTCCAGCCTCTCAGCCATGGCACAGGGGGGCGGGGCAACAGGGAAGCCACCCACACACCCCCTGTCCTGCCAGGCGGCTCCCAGCCCTGCCCACTGCCCATGTCGGCTCTGCTGTGGGAGCTCGGGCTGCAGGCCGAGGGCTCGCGTGAGCACCTAAGACAGAGCATGTGCGTTCAGAGTCCAGGCCTTCGAGTTGAGGGGGGGGTGTCAGCTATGAGGAGGAGGAGCGGGCAGTGGGACTTGAATGCTTCCCATAGCCCTGCAGCGTGAGTGGAAACCTGCAGACCCCTCTCTCGTGTCATGGCAGCGGCCAGGGGTCCGTCTGGAGTGGCCAGCTGAGCAGGGCCAGGTGCTGGAGGGCAGGCGGCAAACCAGGAAACCGGCCAGGGCAACTGACCGGGGTCATGACCTCAGCGCTCCCCGGGGCTGGTCTGCAGCTGCCTCCCCCCACACCCCCAACACTGGAGCCTCCAGGAGGGCAAAGCCCAGGTCCTGGGGGCACCATGGCGAGAGAGCCGTGCTCCCCGAGCTGCTGACGGCCCCCGACAGCACCCACTTGTTCTGGGGCCTCCTCTTGGCAAAGCCCCTTCTTTTCGCCGCCCCCACCACTCTGGGCTCACCCCGGTGCTCTGCGCACCTTCCTCATCCCTTCCCCTGGGGATGGGATGTGTCTCAGCACCTCCATCAGCAGCACAGGCACGATGCTGCCCCCAGCTGGTGGCTTCATAGACACCAACTGAGCAGTTTCCCGGGAAGCACCCACCACGGGAGCTCGAGGGGCGCAGGTGAGACTGGCAGCTAGGGTCACCGAAGGTCACCCAGGGGTGAGCGGGTGCAGAGGGGCAGGCCCCGATTCGTGGCTGCCCCAGCGGGGCTGTGGCTTAGCCGGCAAGATAGAACAGCCCAGTGCTTCCCTCTGCTCCACGAAACACGGGGCAGCCCCACATTTGTGGGGAAGCCCTAAAGCCCAGCCATGGATGGCTTCTGGGTAGCGGTGGCTTGTCCCAGCCCCCACCTGCCCCACCCCCACAGATGCTGCGTCCCGAAGGGGTGAGACAGCAGCCCCCAGGCCCAACGCCAGGTTTCGCACGGAGCCTTTTCTTCTGCACGCACCCCTCACCCTGCCCATGGGCCCACTCACTTCTCCCCAGGGGCAGCCGGGGCTCCCCTGCAGGTGCCGAGGTCCTGTGTGACCCCCCCCAGGGTCCAGCCCCCACGCAGGGAAGCAGGAAGTGCTGATGCCCCATACCCTCCACCCCACAAGAATAGCCACCGGGAGCCCCTTTGACTTGCAGAGAAGTCGGGGCATCTACCTGAGCCCCTGTCAGGCCAGTCCTTTGAACGCGCTGGCTCCGTGATTTAGAGTTTGAATCTGGTTTTAAATGGCAGTTAAAAATTGCGTGTGGCACTTGACAATGAGATTTCGCTTGACAGCTTGGACATAAAACTAAAAATAAATGACTTCACATCCAAATAATAAGTAATAACAATGTTAGCCTGCACGGGAACAGCAGGGCCGGGCCCGAATGCAATATTAATTTTAGGGAGATGAGTGACTGGGGGGCGGCAGAGGGCCAGGGACGGGCCCTCCGCACGCCCCCGGGTCCCTCATCCCCCGGGCAACGGGCTGCGTTCCTCCACCGCGGCGCGGCAATTATGCGGCGTAATGGAGGCAGCACAAATAAGCAGGAAGATTTTATTAAACCAAATGAGCAAATCATCTGCGTATTATTGCGGTTTGATTGACACTGACAAGTGCAGAGCCGGCGCGGAGGCGAATATGATAAAGCAGCTTGCAGAAAGCTCTTGATAATGTTACTCTTGATAAAGTCGCCGGCCGCCCTCTCTAAGTAAATAAAGGGGAGAGGAGGGGGGCGCATATTAATCTCCCGCGTTTGCAGCCTTCGGGAGGGCGCGGGCGGGGGAGGGGGCGTTGCCGGGTTCGGCGCGTGGCATTTCCTGCGAACACCGAAATTGCATCCGCGACTCGCAGAGACTCGACGATAATATATTAATATTAAAACTAAAGGTCACCCCACATAACAGTTAAGCTGTCTGAGCTTCAACCTTTATGCCAATAACAGACTCTGGAAAGTAAGTGGGAAATATTTGAATACTCGGGAAGATATATATATTTTAAGAAGGAAATTTTATTTGGGAGGCAGGCTGGCGA